ATTGATGAATTGAAAGGTTGAAGATTTCGGTATACGAGGGTTGTCCCAAAAAGTCGTAGACAGGGAACGTAATTTATTTTTTCTTTGCTAAATCAATTTTCTTTTCTTTTCATAGCAAAGAGTAACATTTTATGGTCATGTATTTCAAGTTTCTATGACGATACCACATTTAATAAGAAAACTGTGAAAAACAAAGAAACCATGTAAGTGTACATCGGAGCACGAAGGCAAGCGTAATTTACGTCTCTCATAACGTTATGGTCCTTTTTCTGCTTCACATCGTAATGAATATTTTTCATAGTGGAAAACCACTCTTGACTAAGGGAATAATTCAAATTCACTACTGTCCGTTATTTTATTAAGCAGATTCAAATTTTAGTCAAAATTAAATTAGTTGAAAGATCACCTTACATTTTAGGCAGCAGAGAATACACCTTGTTTGACGACGTACATGGCCCAGAACGTTCCTAAATGTCTGCGTTAAACAATCCAGTACTCTACTTTACATGCATCGTCTCAAGCCACGGTCCGAAGTCCGCATATAGCTCTCTCTTACACGTGGCTGCTTGATCACAAAAAAGTGTCGTAATCTTGAATATTTACGCCTCTCTATTGTGACGTCATATTCAGTCAGTGGAAAGTTTTGTTTCCATCGCAATTGAAATCAACAACTGACGTCAACAGTATACAAGAAATATTTCCTTTACTGCGATTGGATATTGAAAGGTCGCGATAAAGTTCATCTTCCGATTATTCTTTACTCGCATTGGTCAAACTTCTAATGAGCTACGAAGAATTCTCTCCTCGTTCAACCACGGCCAGAATGGGAGAGGATCGTACATTTTGGCCATGCTTTGCATGCAATAACTATTTTTTACGATATAGAGGAAAAAAATATCTTTGAATCTCATACTGTTAAAACACAACTTTTCTATTAAAATATAGTGTGTAATGTGCTTTCTGTGCTCTTTTCCCCCGTCTCTGATGAATATAAAACATACCAAAACCAATTTATTACATTTCCGTGCGCCGGGTACGCGTTCGACGACGTCATTTTCATCTATTTCAATTCGAACAACACTTTGAAAATCATGCCACCAGTCGTCTGTTTCTAATGCTATTTATATAAAAATTTGACATATTATTAAGATTTTGATTCTGGTTTCAGTGATTTAAATTTTTGTTCAATATTTTATACAGTGCCAAAGAAATAAAAACAAATGTAATAGTTATATGCATAAATTATTCCGAATTTTGGTCGTGCGCCAACAGACCATATCGGCCTTCATATATATCGTCCCAATATAATGAAAGATATACATTTAAAAATTCACAATTTTAAAGAACATTGAATGTATTATGTCTATGCAAAATTTGGTTAGTATTGGTTTCGTGTAAAAAAAAGTTTTTAACATTGTCTACGACTTTTTGGGACAACCCTCGTATTGTAAAAAATAGCAGTTGGAAACTTTGGCGATCTATCAGTATTTATTGGTGCAATTTAACAGGAATGTGAAAGTTGCCGAGTGAAAACTTGGACAATTATTAGAAATTCGTCAATTTCATCAACGTTTCCACTTTTACAGTATACTCGTATGTGCATCTATATATAGCATATTTGTTCATAGCTTTAAATAACGAAAAATTCAAACTATTTATGTAGAGCACAATTAGATCAAGATTAAATATTTGTTATTAAATTTGTTGCCAGCCTTATGGAATTCTGCCATTTTTCTATTGTTCGTGTTCTCATGCAACATGAAGGCTTTTATAACGACGGTTTGCAACATTAGCTAGAAATCCAAGTAATGGCTTAAGTCATCCCAAACTGATTGACAGTAATGTTGGCCGATTTGAAGATGCATGCACAATCAAATTTGATAATTACACATGTATTATTCCTATGAAATTTCAAGTATAGCCGTTAGGAAGCAGAAGTGAACTTTCTTTTCCATGATACCTAACTCCACCTCTGTCTTAATAGTCTGTGTTAGCTCGGTTCACACATTTTTTTTGTTTAGGTGACCTTTTGAGCGTGAAATACGTTAGTTTTCTTCATATTTTTAACCCATTAATGAGATAATTATTAGAGAGGTTGAGATCTTAAACTTGTACGCGTACGTGTACTTGTATATATTTTGACGTACACGTACACGTTTTTTTAAATTTGTCTGTTGAGATTTTTATGACGTGTAACATGTACGTGTACACCGCGATCAGTGTTTCTGTTTCAACTATTTAGAAGGTTTTTTATCGTCAGTTAGTAAACAATACTTGATGAAAATAAGTGCTCGTGAAAGTACACATCCTATATAATGTATAACAATCACATTTTCACACTTAAATTGGCTAATTTTTATTATTAAAGCTACACGTTTTCATTTACGTGTAGATTCCATTCTACAAGTTTTACGAACGTGTAGCAATCTTGACGTCACTAAAATTGATGACGTAATACACAGAATTAAGGTTATTCCCTTACTACACGTACCCGTACACGTACACGTTTGAAATCTCAACCTCTCTAATAGATATTAAATGGTATAAAAGCAGATACTTTACCTGACGTATGGTCAAAACTATCCGTTTGTATGCCTGGAACTATGACGGGGGAGGGGTATCAGAAGATTCATCAACAGAAACTGAAACTTTGTTCCAACCTCTCTATCTCTCTCTCTCTCTCACCAACGTTATAATGAATGTTTATGGAATTTGAAGAAAGTACCTTGAGAGGATTGGTCCCTAATTTTACCGCAGACGTAGTTTTGTTTCAAGAGAGCAGGCAAGAGAGAGAGAGAGAGATCACAGTCAATAAAAAATAATATCAATACACTGAGTACTTGGTATCTTATCCTCCTCCTTATTCCGAACATGATTTTATTCTAGAAGTCAATATACTAGGTATCTTTTTTTGTTCAGTGAATAGTTTGGAAGTCCCGAAGTTGATATGTTTTGAAAAGTGTGTAACTTGTCACCAAATTTGCGCGTCAGAAAAGATAGTGTAGTATGCGTGTTCTTCATGGCATATTATCTGTATTGAAACTATGTATACAAGGTTGCTTGGAGTATGAACAGCAATCGTATGAAGATTGTAATGGGTATTTTCACTAACAGACTGTTCTATGTGCGATATGGCTTTCGGGGGAGCCGGAGGGACTGCTGGTGGTGCCGGTTTTGGGGGTGGTTCTGGCGCAGCCGTTCCATTCTCTGCAAGTGGTACCCAGAATCTCAAACAGGTCGAGCGTACTCGATATGTTTTTCCTGAGACATGGCTTTGGACAAATTCTAGCACCGGGTATAAATATTTGTCGGGAGATCCTACGGCATCAGCATTTAGTTTATTTAAATTGCATAAAAATCTGCTACTCTGCATTTTATTCTATAATTTAATAACACGGTGGAATAGGAAGAATCATTTTTACATATGCGGTCATTTGAGTTTATTTTAGCAGTTGGGTAATAATAAATCCTTTTGCTTGAAACAGGGACATTAAAGTGCATTTTCAAAACAGTTTGTGCTACAATTTTTCACTCACATGAAAAAGCCGTCCTATATTTTGGATACAAATTAACAAATCAACAAATTTAATCAATTCAATATTTTCTGTGGCTTAATTTTTGTAGAAAGGAAATAAAACTGTGGCAGTCCATTCACTTTTCAAAAAGGAGCTCACAATTTTTTCATGCCTAAATGTTTACAATACAGATAAATATTCATTGTTGGCTCCAAAAAACGGATCGAGAAACATTGAAATGGAAACTGCAATAGTTGTATTTGTAACGTAGTGGATAATTCATAGAAATCTGAACGTACCGATAAACGTCTGTAATTCTTTAATTAACTCTTTGATCAGTGGATCCTCATATCTGGATGAAACCTATGGTGGCAGTAAACGGATTAGCGCCAATTCCAGAAAAATCTCAAATCGTTCCAGCGCCTCAGTCTTTAAGCCCCCTGAAAAGCATTGAGCACATTCGAAATGTTTTTCCAGAGACTTGGTTGTGGACAAATGAAACTACAGGGTAAAATATAGGCATTGCCTATATACTTTTTGAGTATATGTGTTTGCTAGTACACTATGAAATTGTTTATCGTGCAATAAACATAACTCTATAACGCTCTTCCTTTAACTCCAATGTCACGGAAATGATTCCGTTTTGTATCGCTGTTTACCGAGACCATATTATCAAGTTCAACAAAGAATATATATATTTTTTAAAATAACAAAAATTGATTTTAGCCTTAGTATTGTTAGTCAGCCGTTCATTATCTGTTGACAGAGGTATGGAACGAACATATCGACTTACTTAAGGTGTCAAATGTTCACACCAATATATTTCAAATACTTTGCATCTTCATTTGAAGAACCAGCATATCATTCGATGAACTAGTTCTAAATGTAGAGGGCATCCAATCAAAGTACTTCGTGTACTAGTATAAAGGTACAAGACAGTGCTTCTCAGATTTTTTTCAAACACTTGAGATAGCAAATAAAAATACCAATGTGACAGACATACATACCAAAGTGTTTTAGTGCATCCAATACTCACATTTTAAATTTGATAACCTTCCTGTCTACATTTGCTTCTTAGATTTCTTGAGTTCTTGTTTTATCAATGTCCCGAAACAAATTTCTTGGTAGCTTTTTTTTTCAACGTTTTCTTTCCTCTTTTAGAATATTAATAATAATTATTACTTTTGCTGCACATTGTGTATCTGATCAGCTTGGCTTCTTTATTGTATCACCATTTTGCTGGCTAGTTGCTTTGAAAATATTAAAAAAATTTTCTTTAGTAAAATGATAATTGTTAAATGATGAAACATCAGAAGTAAATATAAGCAAAAATTATCAATATATGATTTTTTCATATTGAAAATGTTTGAAGTTTTTAAATACATTCTTATCAAAATTCTAAAATACAATTTCAGGAACATATTTTGCTATTTAAATAAAAAAAAATTGCTTACCTCCATCCTTATTTCTAATTCTGTGCTACAGATCCAATGGAGAGGTTCAGATTTCTACCACGGTCCCAGACACAATCACTTCATGGATTGCCAGCGCTTTTGCCATCAACAGCGCCTCTGGTCTTGGTATTGCAGACACTACTGCTAAGGTAGCTTTCTTCCTTTTTTTCCTTAAATGTAAAACAAAAATGGTTTGTGCATCAAAAGTAAATTTTGCAAAACTCTTATACTGAATGGTACGATCTTTTGGGTTATTTATTTATATGAAAGCGCATTCCTGATAAAAATGTTGGTCTTTTATGGATATTTTTTCACAAATTTTGACTTACTGATTCTAATCTATTTTATTCTCGAGAAAATGACGATTAAAATGTTATCTGTATACTCCATGCTCGAGATTGGGCAACATTTACTATACAAACCATAAGTAAGAACTCTTCTCAGACTTTTTGCTCATCAATGTGTTTCAAAAGCTATAGTTCGTTATTATCCATGATCATTCTTTTTATGCACAATAAAGTTTAAATTTCAGCTTCCCAGTCCTCGTGTCTTCTCAATCCTTGTGTTTTCATAAACATTTAATGGATCCGATCTGCTGTAACAAATACTTTTACTTGTTTGCAGATTGAGGCATTCAAGCCGTTCTTTGTCAGCCTGAACTTGCCCTACTCAGTGGTTCGTGGTGAACAAGTAGTCCTGCAGGCTAATGTCTTCAACTATCTCAGCCAAGACACCGACGTACGCACTCTCAATGATTATATGTCATTTTTTACCATCAATGTCAAATTCAATGTAAATTTAAAAAAAAATCTGTGTTGATCTTCAGAATATAAAAGCATGAGGATTATTATCCCAATGCGGAAACCAATTTTTTAGCATATGGTTCCATACTTTTAATTTGATAATTAAAGATACGAGTACATATGTATAGGAATGTTAACTATCAGCACTGATGTTGATTACAGGTAATTGTGACACTAGAGAAGAATGATGATTTCCGCAGCATCGTGATGGACGCCAGCAATAACCCAACCTATGTATCCCAAACACAAACCGCAACTGTTCAAGTGAGTTTTTATGCATACAAATTTTCCGTAGAAATCAATTAATCACTTTGGTTTATGGTAATTAATTATTTTGGTCGTTCAATCGCATGGCTATGCAAATCAAGGAAAGTTACTATATGTAAATATATAAGTCTTGTATTACTAGGTGCCCTCTGGACAAGCTAAATCAGTGTTCTTCCCTATTGTCCCTGCTGGGCTGGGAATGGTGGATCTCACTGTCAAGGCCCAATCTACACTGGCTGCTGATGGGGTCAGGAGACAGCTTTTAGTCGAGGTAATAAGATGTTTTATTTTTGCTGTTACGATGTTTTCTCCTTTCCCAAAGTATACCCCTCTTCCATTACTTCGCCTTGAGATACTATCACAATAATGGCATATTACGCTATCATTAGGTCATTGGCAAAAACATATGACGAGACAATTCAAACTGTAAAATATTGGTGTCCTATTGTATTTTCAGCCTGAAGGAGTTCCAAAGGAATACAACACGCCAATTTTGATTGACCTTAAGGATACAAATACCTTCACCAAAACTGTCCCAATTTCACTTCCAGCATCTGTGGTTGCTGGTTCACAACATGTGAAAGTCACTGCTATTGGTTAGATCTTTATAAATGAATTAACTAATCACATTGCCAAGACTCTAAGGTTTAGATGTCGTAATAATTTTTAAAATGTGTGTCTTATAGGTGATTTAATGGGACCAACTGTTAATAATTTGGATAAACTTCTGCAAATGCCTTATGGATGTGGTGAACAGACTATGTTAGGATTTGCACCCGATGTTTTTGTAACAAACTATCTTTCTGCAACCCACCAGCTGTCCGCTGATATTGAAGACAAAGCTCTTGGATTTATGGAAAAGGGTAATAAACATTATAATTTATTTGATATGCTTTCACTTTCTTTCATTGGTCTCTTCTAGTTTTTCATTTTGTTCTATAATTATTCTATTTTTACATTTCAATTGTAATTTTACCTTGCAGGATATCAGAGAGAGTTAACATTCCAACACAAAGATGGTTCTTTCAGTGCTTTTGGGGACAGAGATAAATCTGGAAGCATGTGGTTGGTTTCTCTTTAAACCCATATTTCTGCTGTAAAAAGTTTAAGTCACTTTTGTTCACAGCTTTCTTTTAATATCTTTTTTTTAAGGTTGACAGCATTCGTTGCAAAGTCCTTCCATCAGGCAAAGTCTCACATCTTCATTGATGATGAGACCCTTCAGAGAGCCATTGACTGGATGATCAGCAGACAGAATGCTGACGGATCATTCCCAGAACCTGGTCGTGTCATCCACAAGGACATGCAGGTAGCATTTGCTTCCTTAAAAAAAAGATAATATCTTAGAATTACTACATCACAAAAGAATGTTAAATTTTAATCTCCTTTCGTGGTTTCTTTTTGTTCATATTCCATTATACTCAACAGGGAGGATCTGCTTCCGGTCCTGGACTTACTGCATTTGTTCTAATCTCTCTGCTGGAAAACAGTGATCTGAAAGGAGTAAGTTTCAATAATATGCAGTTACAAGACTAATAAACATATTATACAATACACTTGTAATAAATAGCTATAAAAAAAAGTCTTCAATGTGATTTTTTGATTCTGAAATAAGGGTGTGGCCCAGAGAATCCAGACTGCCAGTCAGAAAGCTATGACTTACCTGGAAGGACACGTCTCAACCCTGACCGACGATTATGCTCTTTCTATTGCCAGTTACAGTCTGGCACTGGCAAAGTCACACTCTGCTTCATCAACATTCTCACGCCTTAACAATGATGCCGTTGTGAAAGGTAATGATATCTTACACACTGAAACATTTCTGTCAGTGCAAAAAAATATTTTATATAGATTTTTTTATTTAAAAAAACCTAATGACATTATTTTCATGTTTAACTATCTTGCTTGGTTTTACTTGTTACTAAGACGATGTTGCATATCTAAAATTAAAGAAAGGACAAGATAGGGTAAGACCCTTGTTTGGCCCCTGATATTGGAGGTCTTTTGGAGGTACCTTATCTTGTCCTTTATGATATTGTGATTAAAAAATATTATCATCAATATTGTCGTAAATATTTAAAAGATGGCATGAAACACTGGCATAAGGCCCAGACTCAGACAAACTCTCACCACTACTGGTCTCCACCACATAAACAATCTAATCCAATCGACATTGAGATGACGTCATATGCACTGTTGGTATATGCTGCCAACAACCAGTTCACAAATGGACTACCAGTCATGAAGTGGATTACCTCTCAGAGGAATCCTCATGGAGGGTTCGGGTCCACACAGGTATATATCTTCTCATTTAATTACAATTATTGGTATTCATTCTACAACTGATTGAGTTGGGTTTCTGAACTAGTTAAGTACTTGCCAACCCTTAGCAGCATTTGATAATTCTTTTACAGGACACTGTGTTAGCTCTCCAGGCTCTCTCTGAGTTTGCCAAGATGGCTTACTCCAGCAACTTTGACATCCAGATGACCGTGACGACCGATACATTCTCTCATCAGTTTTCTGTCAATGCTAAGAATGCCCTCCTTCTTCAGTCTGTAGAGGTAATCGGAACATTGTCCTATGTCACCAAGTGTTCATACTATATTAATGAACAAATTCATCAGGCTCATCTGACCATTCAAAATTCTCTCGTGCTAAAAATGGATCTATACATGCATGTACCCAAGTAAAGAAATTCTCAGTATGTTTATAGTACTTAAAAGCTGTTTAAAATAAACAAAAACTCATAGGTTTATATCTGAAAAGAAAAAAAAATAATATGGAAAAATTAATATTTACATGAGCCGGTAAATCCATGTAAATGTACCCAAACCATGGGTTCATATGACGATACCATTTTTTATAATCTTCTCATTTTTTTGGACAGTTGCCATCTATTCCCAGTTCTGTCACCGTCTCTGCAACAGGGCATGGAATGGGACTGATTGAGGTACAACCTTGTGTCTCAAAGATACTGTAGAAGTACTTTTATCCGCGTGGTATTAATTTACGCTATGTACGCGTTCTTAAATTTTCCGCGGAAATTAGTCCCATCGAACTTAATTCAAATATAAGGCATATAAGGAGAATCTTAAGATATCCGCGTAATTAACTACCAGCGGATTAAACAGAAATAGAGATTCCGCGGAATTATGACCCTGGAAAAAAGTACGTTTACAGTATTTAAATCTTATTTTCATTGAAACAGTTGAAAGCAATATCTTGACAATTTTTACGATCTATAAAATAACTAATTTTGTGCAAGATTAATAATGTCTGAACAGTAAGGAATTACCAGGTATGAGCTAAGAATATAACAATGAATATTGAGTTTCCTTTATTTCAATGTTTTAAGGTGTCTGTCTTCTTCAATGTTGAGCAAGAAATTCAGGAACCATCTTTTGACATGACTGTTACGTTAGTTAAGGATTCCTTGGACGCCATTCAGATTGAAACATGTGCTCAGTAAGACTCTGTTTTTCAAGTATAGAAGTTACATGTCCTAAACAAATTGATTTTATATTAAAATTTGAAATTTTTCTTACCTGTGGCAGCTGGTTGAAGGTCGGTGCTAGTGGAATGACCGTACAGGAGATAGGAATTCCAACAGGATTCGAGGCCGACCTGGAAAGCATCACTCAATTACCTACACTGAAAAAAGTAGAAACAGAGAACAAAAAGATCATTCTGTACTTAGATGAGGTTAGTTAATCATTTACGCATTAAAATAAGCTTAGTAAGAATAATAATTATTTTAGCAAAATGTGGTACGAGATTTAAAATATTGTTTAGTTGGAAGGTTACTTTGTTCATTTACATGTATTTGTACAATGTAAACAAACGGCATTTGAAATCTGGCTTATTCGTATAACGAAAAATTCTTTAATGAATGTTACCTTGACACCTTCTATGCATTTTAGATTTCCACTGCTCCGACATGCATTGTTGTGGATATGTTCCGAACAGGATTGGTCGCCAAAACTCAGCCTGCACCAATCAGAATCTATGATTACTACGAGCCAGGTAAAGTAGATAACTTTTTCATTCTCAGAGGAACAGCATAAAGGTTAACGTTGTTTTTTTTAAATAATTCTTTAATTTTTTGTAGCAAACCAAGTGACAAAGTTTTACCAGTCTCATAGCCTGAAGAACTCCAACATCTGTGACGTCTGCAAGGACTGTGGTTGTTCACCGTGAACTTGCTAGCTTTTAAAATAAACTGTCACAAAATTATATCGTTCAACAGCAGGTGCTTTTGAATAGGATTTTAAAATAATGTTACAATGTACTTAACTGTTTTTTTTATAATAAAATTATATACTGTTCTGTTATTTTTTTTATTTTTTGTGAAAACTTTTTACGTCACTTGGTCCGGACATACGTGGCAGTTTTACTACCATTTTCCATCCTTTGTAATTTTGTACTTTTTGAGTATGTGTATGGAAATATTTGTCAAGTTTAAAGATTGTCCATTTTATCGGAAATACAAGTTAAAGGATAAATATCACAAATAAACAAAGAAAGAATCATAGTTTGATCTAAATTTTTTTTACTGATTTTGAAAAAAACAGACATAAATAACAAAATTTTATCTTGGATTTTCTATGCACCTTTGTGCTATTTTCTAGATAATCTTAACAGAAATGTTTACAAAATGATATTTTCCCATCTTACAAAAGCTACACACATATATGGCAGATTTTCAAATTATACGACCATAAAAATACTAAACCCATTTATACATAACACTGATTTCTGCAAAGTAAATCTGTTATTCTAATGCAATTGTTTTGTAAAACACGTTTTGATTGGCTTATGCACTGATGTTTGAAGCAGTAAAACGAGCATTAACGAGAGTGAAAGCTTTTCATTGTGACTTTATAATAGAGCGACGCAAAAACACAATGCTCCTTGATGTAATCTATCTAACGAAACTGAACAAAATAAGACGTAAACAACAAACAAAATGCATGGAATGCTTTAGAATGGGAATAACTGATCTTCAAATTTGGTATTTGCGACCGTTAATGCTGATTTAATGGTCGCAAACATCTGTTTTATCGGCTATGCGTCGCCGGTAAAACTCAGTTTGCGACCATGAAATCAGCACAAACGGTCGTAAATACCAAATTTGAAGATAGTTATTCCCTAATTTATCCCAGTTATTTTATTTAGTTTTAATGGGAGGTTTGATTATTAACTCATGGAATTTATTCACTTCTAACAAGAAGTCCAAAATCAGTTGCGTATTGCATATACCAAAGTGCTGATTTTCTATTATGATATGTGATTGTGTGTAGAAGATTATGCCCAATGTTGGGTTAAATACGAAAGGGAAGGCCTGAACACCGTGTCGGATTGGATAAAGTGTTGTATTGAAAAAAAATGAAAACAAGATCTGTTGCTATCATGGAAAACTGTTTCTTTTTTTCATTTTATGTAGCTTGCGCTTGGTCTTGAACAAAATTATTTCGTTAAAATTCACCTTAATTCTACACGCAATTACGCTTAACATGTGATAGCTTAAGATGCTATTCAAAGAATGCTGGAGTTCCAAATTAACAACAATATTGTAGTCTTTGAAGACAATGTCTCTCAACAAACTAGCTGTTTGCAATGCGCTGGGTATACTAATTGTGCCCCTTTATTAGCGATCTGGTTTTACATTCCTCTAAAGTAGAACTCATTCAAAAACATCTACATTATAAAACACTTGCTGGGCCAACTAACAAGTTACTGCATTAGAAAGGACATGACTTCAGCTTTTTCCACCATCAACATTCCTGATTTATGTAGTAATATTCCACTGTCTACTCAAAAACATGCTCCGAGTACGTTAATTTTTTTTTTACCGAGACAGGCTACTCACAGATAAGTTCACGTTACAGGTATTATTGATTTTTAGCCGGGCTTATTGCTCAAAGAGCAATAGCCGGCTTATTAGACTGGTACCCTGACATTGGTTCACGGGCGCAAGCGCCCTGAAAAACCAACGACAGGTAACCACTGCCATTTTATCGCATCACAGGAAACAACACTGATGAAAAAATCTATATTTAGACTAGCGTAAATCCGCTTATGGGATCCTGTTCAACTTCCTGTTCAAGGCAGGATGTTGACCCAATAGTCGCCAAATTAAACTGACGTTCTGAAATATAGTGTATCTACTTGTAATCGCTGTTGAAACAATTTATACTCATAATCTGATTAATTAAATGTGAATATAAACTGTACTGTAATTATTATTGTGCAGTTATCAAAAATACATTTGTTCTTAGTAGAGAACTTTTAACAAATTCCTACGCATAGCCTGGTTCCCTGTCCCTGTTTTGCTTCGTTTACTCTGCGTCACTGCCTCGGCAATGGTGAGACAGGGTACCAGGCTAAATTTTCCACTCATTCGGCAAACCTAATCAGCCGAGGAGTCCCTAATGATGCAGGTGTTAGGCCTACACAGTGCCCCCCTAGACATCGCCAGATTTCGTTTCTGGAGATAAACAAAGAAGACGCCATATTACACAAGGTATTAGGTTAGGTTATACCGTAAATTGCAGAGGGAAATCTGGTAAAGATACGTATTATCGTTTGTGTATGGAGGCTTCCGAAATTCTGGTAAAGTTTTTGATTGGCTGAGAAGAACACACCTACACGATTTAAATAAATACATGATAAATCGGCAGAAAAATAACTTAAAGATGTAAAAGTTATATGTCTAAAAGTTAAAGATGTTGGACAGGAATTGTTTACGGTAATGCCCACCAGTTATAGGTAGAGTGTGTTTTATTATGTCATTTTGCAAATATTCTGTACGAAAGCAAAAGTGAAAGTAGTGTGCCTTACCTGGTAATACAATTCCTTCGTACTATCTTGATAATGTAACGTTTGCCGTTTATCAATATAAATCACAATAAGAAGAAGAAACACATTTAACATTCGTTTTCAAAAAGGATCTTTAAAATGAAAACAAAGGTTACAAATTGTGTATGAGTTTACAACGATACAGTTAGGTATATGGCGTTCTCCATGGTCAAATTATACAGCTGGTACAACGAAACTTATGCGGAAATCGGAGACTGCCGTACAATCTGACCACGTTTTAAAGTTTGTGTATGACAAAGATGCGCAGTTTATAAGGGGAATTGTGCAAGCCTCCATGCGAGACCGGAGCTACAGGTTACTGTAAGTTCATCCCATTTCTTTGAGATTTTTGGAAGAAAGAAAAGTTTTTTTTTTTAAGTCTTTGCCTTGCCAATGACCAAATAAATGGTTGACTACAGTATCTGAAGAAATTTTAAGGAGTTGAATGAATGTCATACAGACCTCTGCCTATGGCTGCTAAATCAAAGCTTTACAGTTTTATGTGAAGAATTAAAAATATATAGGAGTATGTAAAGAAATGTTGTAACTGTAAATGGAAGTAACTTTTCTCTATTTTGTTCAATTATAAAGTATGAATTTAGACCCTCCAGCCCCTGCATGGGTTTTAGTTTCCAATTTTTATAGCCATAAAATGACTTGGAGTTGTAAAAGGGGTTTTTGAAGAAAAGTAGCTTGCACCCCCATCTTCAATAGAACTCCATTTTTCATAATATTTATTTTTTTTTATCTCTTGAAGAAAAAAAAATGTAGAGCAAGTTATTGAGTATATTGTTTCTCCAAGGATGAATCCAGGATATGTCTTTGTACTCTCATGTCATCCAGAACTTGTGAATTTTTTCCTCATTTTCCCATTTATTTTCCCATTTATATATATTTTTATTTAAAAAAAATTAAATAAGACACTTTCACCTTGTTATGTTATTTTAAAAAGTTGTCCATATAATTTTGAAGCGATATGAGCAAAAATAAATCGATAAAAATAACCTATTGCAGATTTATTAAGAACAGGTGCATGTGGTGGATTTTGATCCGCTCCCGTATAAAACAAAAATGGCGTCGTACAGCAGACGCTTCATACTCGTCGTAATTTTCGTTAAATAATGCAAGTAGAAAAATTACCATGGATAATTTCGTTTAGTATCATTGCATGCAGGAGAATATTCATTTGATTTGCACCAAAACATGACTGATTCTGTCAGGAAAATGGAAAGCTAGCCGAAAATTCTATGGCATGTCCTGTCGCACGACTGCTTTTTTGTGCGTTTTCAAAGACTTGATATATCAATGGTGAGTTTATTAATTCTAAACAACTTTTTCTTTCTCCGAGACGATTTGGGGTTTGGAAAAATTGTGTAATTTATGTATTTTGCAAAAAATTTACAAATAAATACCGTTTGACAGATTTTTAAACGTAAAAACGAAAATCGGCAATAATGGGTACTCGGCAATAATGGGTGTACTCGCACGTTATATGTTTTATCCTGCCTATGCAATAAATCCAGAACAAACCTCTTTCCGAATTTCCTTGACTGAAAGTGTCTATGCAATGTCTTAATACATAATAATAAATTAATTTACAATTCTTTTTTTTTCTCTCTCCACAATTTTCAAGTTTCCATGTAAACATGCTTTTTACTTTTAAAATTGATAGTATCAGATAATATAAGTAAAATTCTAGGTGGTTATTTTTTTTTTATTTTATTAGATTACTCTTGGTTCTAACTACACAGTTGAACAGAGTACCTGTGAATGTGTACATGGGATGGACAAATGTCACCATAAAGCCAGCATTCTTCTCTATGGGTAATTTATATGCAATTTATGTAATATGTAAATTCACTTGGTCTGTTTTAGGTATGCTTTACCAAATTTAATGTTAAATAGAAATTATATCAAAACATGCACACCAATATATATACCCGGTATATACAAGTGTGCAGTTCACCATGTGACTGTAGGTAGCAGGGTACTATTCGTGCCCTGGAACCTCCAAGTCCACTACCTTGGCATATATAAGCATACTTGTAACTATAAAATCTAACTTTAGGCCCCAAGACTATAATATAACTTAGTAAATTTATGGAACATGTTGATACAGGTACAAAAATGTCAGCAAAACTGATGTACGCCAGAGTTGGATTAAGCATCCAGAGTGCGCCACCTCGTCAAACTAAGACGATGGAAGAACTTTTTCCTGCACCTGACAGGTTTATAAATTACAGGTATGCATTTATTATGACTGTTTCATGAATGGTGCAAAATATTAAAAAATGACAGTACCCCAAAAGTGAAAATATAAAAAATAGAGAAATAGCATATTTTTTATGGGCAATATACACTTTTTTCAATGGATGGAACT